CGCGGGATAAAGACGAAGCCGGTCGGGAAGCAACATGCTTGTAGAGATCGAAAATGGCTCCTCTGAGTTGGAGATCATGATGAAACCCCATTTTGCCAGCAGCATCTTTGAGCTTCAGGCAGGTGGAAGAATCCAATCCAGTAAGCTGGGCAATTTCTTCGTGGGAAACTGTGGCCAGCCTATTGAAAGTGAGGAACTTCGTCAGAGGTGCAAGCTGCAGCGAAGATCCAGCGCACTAGCAAGTTCCATAAGATCAATAGGACTAGCTCCAGGCCTCCACCTTCGAGTCTCAACGCCTGGATACCACTGTGGAGGCCAATGTGTACGGCAGACAATATCGGGACGCACTGCAGTGTAGCAGAACATTGAGAAAGCGGTTGCCGAGGGAGATGAGGAGCAAGTTGATGGAGTCCATCAAAGAGAGACAGTGAAGCGATCAGAATCATACCAAATACCGAAATTGAGTGGGGCGAGGCAGAAATCCAAACTCAATATTTGCAGGCAAAAGGGATGCGAAATAGCCACACCAGGAATGACAGAAAGCCCAAATATGGAGTTCACATAAACGTATCAGTGAAGTAAGATCTCGCACCAGACAGTCATGGAGGATCTCAATCGAAACTGCAAGAGGCTGAATGCCATTAACAGTATCAGAGGGATAGACCGAGAAGCTTCTCAACACATCATCAAATAGGAGGTACAAGTAAATACAGATCGAGGCGAAGGACGACCGAGCAAGCATGGTCCCCAAAGGATTAACGTGAGGCATGCAAAGAACGTTGCCGGGAGCAGTACAACAGGTCTCTCCACCCTGACAGTGTCTTTTCCTGGGCAGTGGCGGTCGAGCTGGAGTGGCCTCTTGGGATTGCCTGTGCCTTTGTAGCACAGGGCGTGAGGTCTTCACCTGCAGAGTCAATTGCTTGATCGTTGCTCTCTTCTGACGAAGCTTGCGCTTGAGCTTCCGATTCTTGGTGCGGGCCTCGTGGAGCTGGGACAGTTGCTCCAAAATTGCAAGCTGCATCTTCAGGATGGGCCTGACCTGTTGCAGCACGTGTAGAGGCAAAAGACTGCTCTGTACTACATGTGTATACAGAAGGCTTCGAGGATCGTGATTTCGAATGCTTGACAGGGGTAAGCGGGCGCATCCTTGCGTATAGCAACCTGCTGATCGCCATCTCCATATCCAAGGGCTTTGCAAGGAACGGTGTCTTCAACCTCATCAGAGGAGGTGTATGAAGGACTGGAGGAAGCTCCACCATGCAAGCCTGCACTTTCATCGTCAGTATGATCAATCCATTCAACCTCATCATCACTAGGGACCCAAAATGATCTACGCCGCCGAGGTGAAGAGGTCGCTGTGGCAGGAGAAAGGTTAACAGCAGCACGACGGCGCGGAAGAGGAGGCCTGGCAGAAGCTGAGGGGGGAGCGCACGGAGGGCTCCTTGATCGATCCCGAGTACCAAGGGGTTGTTCCAACTCTGCCCGTTCATTTGGCAAGTCAGCCTGATCAGGATCTTTCCACTCCACTGAGTCGAACAACTCCGGCATGATCGTATCCTGCACCAAATAAACACCATTCTCTGCACGATAAATAGGTATATTGTGATCGTTGAGGGTCTTGGAGCGTATGTAAATCAATACTGTGCTGCTCTGTCTCAACTCATTCTCGACTGATGTACGGTCTGAGGCATCGACAAAATGTATGTGCTCTCTCTTGCGGCTGTCCAATCCTTGAGCTGTGATCCCAGGCATACAAGTGGCACGGGTTCCATGCACAAGTAGCCGAGGCAGTTCATGAAGCTTGGGCAGAGAGGGTTTCACCTTCACACCTGCAGTGTGACCAGCGACGGCTTTGACCAGTAAGCTTCCATCGGGGGCATCATCGATGTGAAAACGTTGCTTCTTATCAGTCCTCACAATGTCCCTGAGCAAGTTCTCCGTCAAAGTAGGCTTGTGCCACTGCAAGTCCTGAAGAGGAGTGTAGCCTGAGGCATTGATACGTAGCTGCAATGGCTGTGCACCGTGCCGTAGGGCGTAACTGAGCCACCGAGATAGCTTGTACTGCTCCTGAGAAGTGGAAAAGCTGCCTTGCTCATCGCCTCCTCCGCCACGGACAAGATATGGCTTGCACGCCTTTTGCCTACGATGGGACTTGTGTATCCAGTCAAAATTCAATGCGATGGGCCGATTTACAAAGGAGGCTTCGTCAAAATCCAAGCGAATAAGGAGCAATCGCCCAAGGTCGTGTGCTGCCAGCCTTATAGATGTTCACACCATACGCTGCCTCAAAATGCTGATTGCAAAGCAGGATGTGCACCCTTCTCGCATGCTCCTGACCAGGCCGAAACAAAATTGTACGCCCTTTGATGATACCAGTACTGTTGCCATCAGACTGTACGATGCAGATGTCATCGCCGAGCCTCTCCGCAGCAACCTGAATGGCTGTCTCATCAGCCCAAGTGCTGGATTTTCCATACTTAGCGGCATCAACGTGCCCAGAAAGGGCTTTCACCTTCAGGGCCCGCCAGGATCGAGCGCTCCCACAAAGATGCTGCGAGAGAGACTTCCAAAAGCAGGCACCTCTCCCAGAGTTGGGCGTCGTGCGAAGCCGGCAGACAACGTCCTGAAAGCAAGGATCCCCCGCTGCCCAGACCTCCTCAGTGCTCCATTCGCTCGTCGCGCAAAACTGCTTATACGGCGCCAGCTCAAAGTGAAGAAGGACAAGAATCCACCTCAATCGACCGACCCAAAGCTGCACAACGTCCATGCAAATACGCGCCCAGCTGCAAGCGACCCAACATACAAAAAAGAGGAGCGCGAGGTCAAAGCTCATCAACCCCATCACAAAGAGGTTCTTCCACCAGCGAGGGTGGGGCCAAACCAACATGGCGTGCCGGGCACAATACACTGGGGTTTTTCGAATCGAGCCAATGATCCCACAGCGGAGAACGAGATCAGAGCAAATCTCAATAAGCTTGAAAAGCGAAACGAGGAGAAGGAACAAATCAAGACGATGCCAAAGGCTAATGGTGAACTGTTGAAACAGTCCCAGAATACCCATGAACATGACGATGCAAATGGTAAGAACGGAAGAAATTCGACTGTAGATCCATAACAGAACAAGCCCGCCCAAAATGAGAAGAAACTCCTGGAGGGAGGGGGTGTTGACATAAGCACAATAATGATTGTAAAGCGGGGGTAGATGGAAAAGACCGGAAATTGCAACCCAACCCGCCTTGCTGTATCCTCACGTCGTGAATGTAGGAAGCTGCCACAAGCATAGATACAATAACCCAGGAAGGAGTAGAGCTGGAATAAATAGCAATCATAAGACAAATAAGAGCTCCTCGAAGATGATCATCACAAATTGAAGTCAATAAGTCGAAGAATAAACCGTGTACAGAAGAGGTGGAGGCCAGATGTAGCAATACATATACCGCACCATCGAAGGGGATCTCCAAGTTGAAGTCCATCAGGTTGTAGAAGAAGCATAGTATCCAAGATGCCGTACACCTGCAATGCAATCAGAATGAGATTGCCAAGATACGAACATTGGCCGGATAGGGTTTGAATGCATTTGAGGAAGAGAACCAAAAGAACCGGTAAAACCCTGGGTATGGTCTTACTCCATATACAATCACTGAAGAAGAGAGGAGAAGTGTCATAGGAATTGCGAAGGTACGAATCAATGGAGCAGTTGCTGTAGATTGACAAGGTAGAAGAGAAGGGGAAATCACAATCAAGGAAAGATCTGTAAGACCCAGAAGAGGAGAGTGCGCCACAGGATGAGTAAATACATACCCACAATGTCATCCCACAAGTCAGTAGGCAGTCCAGTTTGCCCGGGGAGGGCGCCATAGGTGATCCCAAGAAACACCTAGACCAGAACTACCTAACGCCAAAGGCGAATGGAGCGCCTTGAGGGACAATGGCTGTGTGGGTTCGGGTCATGGATCACCTGAAAGACCCTCACACGTTTCTTTGAAATCTCCATTTAAAGGGTTGCAGGCCGTGCCTACAACCCAACCAAACGTTTGGACTGTATTGCAATTGGCATCTCAGTTGAAAGGTGCAAACGTTGCTCTTGTTTGCTTTGTTCGCCTGAGCACGTTCTTTTTGCGGGGTTAGGGGGGGGTAGAGCCTTGGAGTTTAGCATGGTTGAGCTGATGGCCAGACAGTGCCAGCGGGGCCATGGAGAGCTCAACGGCATAAGAGTTTCACGGACCACAATTGTTGGTTTTCCGGCATTGCAGGTATGTGCTTGTTAAAATCGGCTTGATGTATCAAAGTGACCATGACCTTGGTTTTCCTTGCTCAGCTCCTGGAGCTGGAAATCAGGCCAGGGATCACGGTTGCTCTTCCGTTGCTGGCGAGGATCCAGCAACGCAATGGACGGCGCATTTTGCAAAATCAAACGGTGCATGTGATTCTGTTCACACGACGAGGGTTCCCAACAGAGATTGACATGGAAGTCGCGATGATGCGCGCTCTCTCTCTCTCTCCCTCCCTCTCTCTCTCTCAACGCTGATTCTAGTGGAGGGGGGAGCATTCGTCAAATGATGCCACAAAATGCCACACAAATGGAGCTTGTCTCAATGCAGAGCCCCCAAAATGGGAGGGTGTGTCCTTTGTCTTCCATTTCAACCAACCCCAGCAAAGGAACCCGAGGAAAACACAGGCAATTCCCAAGCAGAGGCCAAAGATGCTGGCTACGTTTGTCCACTTTTATCAGGCATGGACAAATTGGGTAAATTGCTTGCTTTCCACTCCGCATCATTATCCTCAAAGTCTTGCTCTCTCAAAGCAGCGCCCAAAACCCATTGACTTTTGGATCTACTAACATGGTTCTAAAGGTTCATTTGAGGTTTATATAGGCTTCACTACAAGTAGTAGAACCTACTAGATTAGCCTTGCGGGCATCGGGTTTGGGCGCCCGAAAAGGACAACGAAGGGCCGGCCCGGCGAGTCCGTGGCCCGAAGGCCGAGGGAAGCCGAGAGGCGAGAAGCTTGTCCAAGGCAATCGCGCGCTGCACGGACTTCACAAAGATCACCACCTGATCGATGTCTCTCGGGGACCCCGATTCCGTGGATGGCTTAAAGAGCACGAGGCAACCAATCGCCTGAGGCCCTGAAATTTGAGAAACACAAAATGGTTCCTTTAAAACAGGCATGACCCAAGCCCTGAAGCACAGCGGCATCCGTGCATTGACCGAGCACAAACCTGAGACCTGAGACCGTCAGCCAAAAAATCAGGTAATGGGTTTGTCTCATGGACCCCAAAATGGGAAAGAACCCAAAATGGTACCGACTAGAACTGTGGTGGATCGAAAGCATAACATATAATGAGCTTCATTTCTGCGGTCGCACGTTTATGCAAGGTGCTACAGCAAGTTCTCTCGATCGACGCATGTTTCTCTTGTAGCAAAAAGCTCGAGTTGTTCACGACCACGCCGATCCGCGCAAAGGGTCTCGGGGCGGCAAAGTCAAAAAGTAGCAAAACCCTCAATCCACAACCACCCCAATGCACGCAATGGGTCGCGTGCGCACATCAAAAATGACAAAAACCTCGAGTTGTTGAACCTGGCCAACGCAAACAGTAGAAAAGTCCTTGAGTGATTGAACCACCACCACGCCGATCTACGCGAGAGTCAGAAAGTCGCAAAAACCTCGGGCTTTTGAACCTCGACCACCGCGATTCATGCAGAGGGCGTCATTACCGCGCTGCCCTCAACAGCCTAAGCAGCCTAAGTTTCATTTCGAGTCCACACTTGTCGCACAAAATGTCTCACGCGAGCTTTCTGGTGCAAGGTGGCTCTTGCAAATTGCTGCGCGTGGTCTCTCCCCCTCAACTTGCTGCGCGTGGTGTACTTGCTCTGCGCATGCTCTCGTACTTCTTACTCTGCATGTGCTCTCGCGCGCGCAAGATGCACATGCACTCGACATGCTCTCGTGCCTCTTGCTGTGCATATGCTCTCGTTCATCCTGCTGTGCATATACTGTTGTCTCTCTTGCTGCGCAGGTGCACTCATGCATCTTGCTCTGCATGGATCATGTATCTTGCTGCGTGAGAAGGCTCGTGATTTGACCGGAAGAACCCTTCGCAATGCTTTCGGGAAAAGAAAGGTGCCAACTCACATGTGCACCTGGTTAAACTCCAGCGCATCCAGCAAGTCGTTCAGTTTCCGATTCTTCTCCTGCGCAGAACTCCAGTTCGGGGAGTTGTCCATGGGTCGGCTTCCTTTTGGTGTGTCTCTGTCTTCCGAAATGAAGATGTCTTTAGTTCGGCCCTCTCCCAGTGCAGCATGAGTTGTGCAAGGAACCAAAGAGTCTTGCAAGGGGGACCTTGCTCAAACGCGGATCTCCTTTTCTTGGGATTGGTGTTACAGAAGCAGACCTCCTAATGGTGTTCTGAGATCCCCATAGGTTCCTTCTCGGTCAGCTTCACGTAGTACTGCAAGAGGCCGTGCAGAGTGAGCTTGGACTCTTCGTCTACTCGAATCTCATGCGGATCCTGCATGTGTTGGGTGACTGCAAATGGGCGATAACAAGTGCGTCGTTGTCCTTTTTTGGGACAAGCTGCAACCCGTTTGTTAGAACCTGTTGATGGTCCCCTGCATGAGAAAGCAAATTGCATTAATCACAAACCCAGTACGGGACCAAGAGTTCAAGCCGGTTTTCTTTGGCAACTGGCAATATGTCTTCCACACTGCAGGCATGAAAATTCATGACACCGCATCTTCAGTTTGTGCCAAAACGGGGTGCTGGCTCCCCGGATGCCAGCAGCACAAGGCCTTGCTTGGCTCCGTCTCTTGCTCGACTCCTAGCTCCCTTTTACGATGTCCGCAAGCGGCATAAGCTTGGTCCTGCATGAACTTCTTGCACAGCGCCCTGGTCTCTGCAGTCATGGTGGCGCTGAACATCATCACCTGCGAGCCGCAAAACCGCAGCAGGTTAGAAGCATTCAGCTGGCATTCTCGGCTACATGCAATGGCGAAGGTGAGAGGAGAAAGCATGCCACGCTCTCTGCCGTTGCCTGCTTCTTCTTGGGAGTTTCCATGAAAATCTGCTGGACGTCCTGCCAGTAAACCAAGCCATGCAAGTGGCTTCTCTTCTCCAGCTTGAGGCTGGTCCTTTCGCATGTCCACCTTGTCCAGGCACTTGTCGCATTCGTCAAGGACGAACTGCTGAATCTTGTCCAGCTTCAAGTCCTGCATGCTATCTGGAGAACCACGGGAAGAAACATTGCGCGTCGTTGTCGTCATCAGTTCGGCCGGCAAAAGGCCGGCACGTGTCAAAGAATAAAGACACCAGGGCGAAAGTAGATGGCACAGTTTCGTTATGAGGGGTAAGTAAAGCGGATGAGGGAATTGTGCAATCTACTTTTTTCACCCGACAGTACAACTGGTCGGAAATCAAATGGAATAAAATTATCTCAGCTCGACAAAGTGCCTGTTCAAGGCCCATGGTTGCAAGAATCTTCCCCATCCTTCTCGCGAACCAGCGCCAAAACTCGGCCGGGCGTGCCGATAAGGATGTGGGGACACGAATCCTGCAAGGCAGTCTGAGGGCGTTTGTTGCTCTGCTGATTGCTGAAGATTTGCACTGCTATAGATGACTAACGCATGCATGGTGAAGTCTGTACACTCGACTCTCTGCAACTTGCCACATGTTGCATTTTTTTTCGTGCACGACACAAAAACATGCCACTGCGAAATGTGCCCGCCTTCAGCATGTCTTTGTCCTTGGACATGGGCGTCCCTCCATAGACTACAGCAGTTTTGATCTCCTGCAGCAGCTAGGAAAGTCTTGCTGCGAATGATGTTCCCCGAGCACCAAGTCAAGAGTATCCGTATCCACACAGAAATATTGTGTTTTCCTGCAAGGTTTCTCTGATCGCAGCATGTCACGCGCGCTCCGGGAAGTATTTGGCGAAGCGCTCGAACTCGTGCTTGATCTGGTACGCCAGCTCTCGGGTGTGGCAAATGACCAGCGTCCTCACGGCCTGACGACGCAGATCCATCTAGCGCCCAATAACCCATGGACTCCATAAAACGAGTAGATTCACCAGTGGAAAATGAGGGTTTGGGCTGCTCTGGACCTGCAGCTGTGTGCCCAACTTCCATGTCCTGGCCTTTTCACTAGCTTCCACCTGTTGGAGGCACGCGAGCACGAACACCGCGGTCTTGCCCATGCCGGACTTGGCCTGGCAGGCTTTCAGAGGGGCCCTGCTTGCAAGGAGCCAGCAAGCCAAAGGAGCGGAAAAAGAACTCAAAGACCAGACGATTGCAGGCTTTGGGGGCCAAATCTTGGGCCCTGAAAATGGTGGCTTCGCTTGGAAAAGGACGCGCCCACTTTGCTTTGGGAGCCTTCAAGAACCTCGGATGGCCAATAACCCAAGCCGCTTGCTTCCCTTGCCTGTTCCCGGCAAAGCTCACTCTGAGACGTGCTACCAGATTGTGAGGCCACGGCGCGAAGCTCATCCCCACAAAGTAGGAGAAGGGCCAAAGGAGGGCGGTTTGTCAACAGGCCAAGAGCTCTTGGGATATTCCCCTACAAATTTGCGGAACACCAAGATGGGGCCTTCCCAACGGGGCGCTTCCACATCCCTAGCGCAGTCCTGGCACAGCACGTCCGTCCCCAGAATTGCCTGGCCAAAAATGAAAGGAAGCACTTGCTCCAGGTTGACACAACGTAGTACCATCAGGATAAAATTTTGCCAGTGCCCTGCATTGTTGTTTCCCCTACGTCAAGCACCAGTGGAGGTATGCCCTGCCAGTGTGCCTCTGGCACTCACCACTGAAACCATTGAGGACATCCTGATCTCTTGTCGGATTTCGGATTGCTCTCCTCACTGCTCAAACCCTTCATCAAAAAATCCGATGCTCGTCCTTGAGGGGCAATCCCAGGGCTCTTAACAAGGCTGGCATGAGTCAGCAACACCAAAAGGCCAGCACACGGCCGCTGGATCTCCAACTTTGTGATTAGTGATAGCTTACTTGTGTCCTAAACCCCAAGCCCACACAATGCTGAGACTGCTTGCTTGATGATTGGTTGATTGATTGATTGGCTGGTTGGTTTGTTGCTTGCTTGGTTGCTTGCTTGGTTGCTTGCTTGGTTGCTGGATGGATGGATGGATGGATGGATGGATGGATGGATGGATGGATGGATGGATGGATGGATGGATGGCATGGCATGGCATGGCATGGCATGGATGGATGGATGGATGGATTGACAGGCAGACAGGCAAACAGGCAGACAGATTTAGACAGATAGACAAATAGAGAGGTAGACAGGTAGACAGGTAGAGAGGTTGTAGACAGAAAGACGGATGGATAGACAAATAGACAAATGGACACATGGACAAATAGACGAACAAATTGATTGATCGATCGATTGATTGATTGATAGCTACTAGTAGATAGATAGACACAAGATGGAATTTTCACAAAATTCATCAGGTGTTGCAAAGGTTTGCTCAATCAACTCTTCGGTGGAACCCCGTCACAGCTCTGCTACTATACCATGGGCTGACCAGGTTGCGAGGATTCAACCCCTTGTTTACACAGTGATTTTAACAACTTGTGTGTTGTTGTTTTGTTCCTTTATAGCTGTCCTTTGGAGGAGGCCAAAGTTTGTGTCATGAGGGAACCCAAAATTGGCTTCTCCTTTTGGTCTTCCTTCAAACCAACCCCAACATTACCTCAGATCACTTCAACCACCCAGGTCTTGCTATGCCCGGATCCCCGGATCCCCGCCTGCGGAATGCACTCGTGCTGCACCTCCGAAGGGTGCTCAAAGCCGCAGTCCACGATGGCGCGGATGAGCTCTGGCCTTTTTTTTAAGGGAGGCCAAAAGGAAAGCCAGGAGGCCTGTCAGAAATAGGGGCCCTGGAATGGTATCCCCACAAAAGAAAGGCGGCACAAGTTGGCACCAGGGTGTGATAATGGACATAAGGGGCCTTCCTTCATTGCCAAGCCCCTGCCAGTCCCCCCTCACAGCGAAAACATGCTAACTGGCTCCATGTTTTTAAGGCACGGAAACTGGGTTCTGCTGCTGGCTTTTTGGAAACCCAGACTTTCTTGGTCTTGGTTCGAGCCAGGTTGAGGCAAGTGGGAAAGAAAGGCATCGCCCTGGGCTTCCGGACTTCAGGAGGAAGTCCTTGAACCCGGAGGCATGCAGTGCCGCTTGCCCCTTCTTGGCCTCGAGCCCAAGTTCTCCAAAGACAAAAAGAGCCCCTGCTCAATGCTGTGACTGGCTTGGATTGCTGGCTTCATGGCTGCACACGGACATCCATGTCGACTGGATAAGCCCGGCTTCGTTCACAGAGGTGTCACAACTTCGTTCATAAGGATGGCAAAAAGGCAAACCAAAGATAGGCTATCACAGATCAATTTGCCGATTGATCTGTGATCATGAATTGGCGACCATGGCTCATTCCAGGGATGCAAAACCAAAAGCATGAAAAATCGGGTCAAGAATGGTCCTTACAAACTTAAAGCAAACCAAAATGTCTGAGCCAGGTTCCAGAAGATTAAACAGATTTGGCATGAGAACCCCCACCTCGGCATCCTTGGTCTCGTCGTTCTTTGTGTCCTGGCAGAGAAGTAGATTCCCTTTGAATTCCCTTTCAAGCAACCACGAAACGGGCACCTTCAAGCACACTCACAGGTCTACCTCCAATTGCGAACATCGACGCAGAAAGGATTATCTTAGAGAAACACAATCGACCACACTCACTTAAATTGCCCGAACTGGTTGTATGTGTGTGTGTGTGTGTGTCCAAGCCAACACAATAATTCATGTGTGATTTAGAAGTCGGACAACCACGCCAAGAGACATTCCACACCCTGCAACCAGGGATATTACTCTGGTGAAACAGAGGAACTAAAGGAAGGGCAATTCTGCCTCCCATCCCCGAACAATTCGTCGGATAGCAGAGTTGCCTCCTCGTCAAAGTCGGGGAGCTCCTCCTGACGAATTGGTTTGAGTGGCGTCCAAGGTGCTGGTGCACATGTTTGCGTGTCAAAGTGAGGGACCCACACAAATCAAACAAATGGGAGGGGGTGGTTTAACTTTACAACCCCAAAACGGGTGCCCTCAAAAAGCGAGCACAACTCGCACACACACACACACACAGTGTGGAACATGCCTGGTGAACAATGCGGAACATGTCCCTTGCCTGGAGGGGGAGGGAGGCGGGTATTCCCGCTATTCCCTTTGTCCATTCTTCCCCAAGGAAGGCAAAATGGGCCGGAGAGCTCTGTGGACCCTGCCCCAATTCCATGTTTCACAGGACATGAGCATACCAGCGGTATCCTCCACTCCCATGACCGAATGTGCCGCAAAGCTGCGTCTTCAATCAGCTTTTGAGGCTTTGCGGCTGCGCAGGATGTCACCCTCTCAGGTCCTACATGCCCCAAAAATATAATGAGAACCATCCTTTTGCAGGGCCTATAGCTGGGATACATCCATTTGGGGTATGTGAGACCTCAAACCATCTTTCGAATGATACTTCTAGCAAAATTGTGTTCCTGGATAGTGTAGGAGACCTGATCAATTTGCTTCTTCATCCTCCTTAGAAGCATTCAAACCAACAAAAATGAATCCTTGCCAAGGAGGCCTCCGCATTCTCTGGCTGTGCATGTAAAACCAAATTCCTCATTCAACCGAAGTCTCGCTTCACTGAACGGCCCCGCAGTTCGAAGTTTTGCTGAGAAACTGGCGAGACCTCCTGAACCAATGCGTGTCCCCACCCCTGGGGTCCATGCCATAGCTGACCTCAGACCCACATCAATCCAGCCGCAAGTCTGACCTTTGCACACAAAACCTCCAGGGTACTACGCTTTCGGCAATGCTTGGTTGGAAATGACACGCGTTTGCTAGTGTTGGAATCAAGGCCACACAAATGATCTCGTCGAGTTATGCTCTCGAGCGCAGTGCATCCCATTTGGCACGTTGAGAATTAGGGAGCCGGCGGGTCGAAGGGGAACTGACTCACCTGCCACTCATTGTGCACATTGTGCAACACATGTAACTGAAATTGCTCTGATTGGCTGAAGGCTGCAAACGCAGAAGTGCGATCTGTCCAGCTTTGGAGCCCAAAACAGTGCCAGGATCAAGTGCAAACATGTAAGGAGCAAACCATGCACAAAAGAACAACTTGAGAGTTCATTGGACACGACTGCAACAAGGATTTGCGTGAGCTGAGCCAAACTGTGTTCCTCATCGCATTTGGATTCGGACCCTCCATGCCTGCGCACGATCATATAGCCGCTGCGCCATTCGAAAATTTTGAGACCTCATCATTGCCAAATCGGCATTTGTCCGCGTTTGTCACCCTTGTCAGATTTTTCAAGTTTGACTGTGTCTGAAAACCAAAAGCGCTATGAGAGACCAAAGGCCTGCCAAACTTAGGACAACGACCAGTGGAAACCAAACACGCCGTGCACCCGGGCAGTCGCAAAATCCAGCCAGAACCAGGGTGAGGCAATCCAACCCCCCATTCAGACCATAGTTTCAACCACAACGGTTCAAACAACCTCCTTTTGGTGTTTAAGGAGGACCAAGATCTGGCTGTTTAAACCGGTTTCAGTTTCTGCCCAACCCTGGTCGTAACCCAAATGAGTCGCAGCCGTCAGCTGTTTAAGGCTAGGACTGCAAGGCTTGGGCTTGTTCAGAGAATGCTCCCGCGTATGACCTTGGGCAGGCAAACTAAGGCCTCAAGCCAACTCGGGGTTCACCGAAGGCATCAAACAAAGGACCAAACAATGGGGTGGCTGGCTGACCTTGAGCACACCAAACAGCACCTTGACCAGCACCCAAAACATCATGGAGTGTGTTCAGCATGTCCAAGTCAACATGGCAAGTTTCGTTTGTGCGTCACTTTGGTGAAGCAACTGCCTGATTCACGCTGAATGGCTTGCAAACGAATCTGGCTGGAAGCGCAGAAACTGAGCTAACAAATTGCTGAAGCAAACCCACATCACACATTCTGCAAGGAGTCAAAGTAAACCAGGCTTCTTGGCATAAGACAACCGAAATTGAAACACCAAATCTGCAATCCCAGTCATCTACGTATTTCACCATCCAAAAAGGAACTGCTGTCAAACCATCGAGGAAAAAAAAAAAACATGGTTGCCAAGTGTGGCTCTCACTGATGCATTTCTTGAGCCTCAATGCCGCGCCTCGAAAAAGCGCAAGCTTGTGCTCCCCATGCCTTTTGCATGTCAGCTTTGTGACCCGGGGACAATACTGTTCGTTTCCAGGAGAACATAGGCAAAAGGGGTTGTTGTGCGGCTTTACATTTGGAAATTCAGTGAGTGACTTTCCCTTCTGTTCCTCCCAAAACTGACAGTTGTCCAGTTGTCAGCTTCCTGATTTCCTGAAGACACGGGAAGAATCTGTTGGTTTGTGGGCCATGGGACTGAAACACCTTCCCGGACCAAAAGGACCCCCGACAGCCGCTGCTGCAAATCCCGCTGCTGACGCTCCAGCGCCTGGCTGCCCTTCTTGGGCTTGGAGAACAAAGTGAAGGGGAAAATCTTGGGGCAGCTCACAGGGAAAAAGCCCCGGTTGCAACAAGAACGAAGCCATTTTGGGGTTGCAAATCCCAAAATGACAGATACCCATGGTTTAGGAAACGTTGCGGGCAAGACGGCAAGCGAAATTGAAAATGAAGATATGGGAGGCAAGCGGAATGTGGGAAATTGCAGAAATATCATTGGGAGAAAGTGAAATAGATGAAAGAGTTGAAAATTGGAGTTGCTGGCATTGACGGTGGAGGCTTGGTGGCCTACCTCTTTTTAGCATAGCAAGACGTGTCCTTCAAGTGAAGGTGACCAAACGAAAACTAAATCGCCTGCAAGCCTCAAATCAGAAAGCTGAGTTGAGGCTTCCGGGCTTCCTGATGATGGAAGATGCTCGAGCCTGACAAATGTTATTTTACATCTTGCGTGCAAGGTAACAATGTAACAGCAACAATTTGGTCAAACCGAAGCCAACTGTCAATCTCTGCAGAAGTGAAGGTGAATCTCCCCAACCCAACCTCATGTCCACCAAAAGAACCTGGCGAGGTAATCTCGAAACGCCAAGCCAGGCTAGCATCAAGGTTGGATATGAACTCCAGTCAACCAGGGTTGTCCTCTTGTTCCCCAAATATATGTATATATATATATATAGACATATGTAGTGTATATATATATACATATGTAGTATATATATATATATACATGTAGTATATATATATATATGTATATATATATATATGTATATATATATATATGTACGTGTATATATATATATATATGTATCACCAGAACCAAAGCAAACTCACATTAAGTTGGCACAAAAGGGGAAAAATGCATCACTGTCAGTCAGCCCAGGGGCAACTCTGCATTGACACGGCCGGAATCTCTTGAACTCCATCCCGGACCTGCTGATAATGCTGCAATTCCATGTACTGCTCATACCTGGAGCCGCTGGCTCAACACATCTTCAATGCATGCACAGCACTGCCTCTTGCCCTTTCTGTTCAGTAGAGCTCGGCACAGAGTGCAAGACACGTGTCAAAGCATATGTGAAGGCATTCAATCTGACTGCAAGCCCATATTTTCCTGTGATGCCCAGCTTCAGTCAACATATCTCTGAATGTGCAAGCTATGACTCATGCCCAAATTTGTCACCTTGGCAGGAAGGTATCATCTAGCAAATCTGGAACGTGGATGTCAGCGACCAAGGGATATGACTGTTGCGCAGGTTCCCCCAAAGGTGATGGAAATGGGCGGACCCCATGGTGTCCTCCCCAAACATTGGACTACCAGAACTTTTGCCAGTTGCTCCCATGAGAGCCATGGCGCTCTTGACACTTGTGCTCTTGCCCATTGGTCAGTTGCCCCCAACTCGGACAAGCAAGCGCAGCTCTAAGCTGCCGGAAACTAAGCATACATACGGCGTGCCAAACCTGGAAGCCTCCCTTTGCTTCAGCTGTGCAGTCAAGACGCATCTGCTCTTGGAAGTACTCGGGCTTGGGGTTCGCCTTCAGCAACAGGCACACACCCCTAGCTCCCCAACCCAATCTGCCATCTAGAGTTGTTCCATAGCTGCAAACGTTGCGGGGACACGCCTGGTATGGTCCAAATCCACCCTTTGTGGACAAATGCCCACACTGGGGAGACAAATGCCCACACTGGGGAAAAGTGGAACCATGCAACTTGCTCCGTCATGGGCAAAAATTAAGTTGCCCCCCGGTTTTTGCACTCTGCGGGTGAATTCACCAGGCATCTCTGTTTTGCCTTCTTGAAAATACTGACAGGATGGGACGGGATGATGGAATGACATGAAACCAACTTGGAGGCATCCCTTTGACCAAGGGCTTGCTTTGAGTTCCCAAGGCAACCCCAAAGCTGGGACTTCGTGTGAGTCACACCCACGGAACTGGCTCGAGTGCTGCCAAACCGCCATCTCGAAGTGGCCCGGTGGTACTTTCGGAAACTCCGGCCAGCGCTCCTCCTGACCCGCTTGAAAAGGCAAAGGAAGGGGCGACTCGCACTCTTTTGGCGGGTAAACCAAAAGTGGGAGACTTGTTATTCGATCGGGTGATTCTCAAAATGCGGGTCGAAAAGGCAGGATTCCGAACAAGTCCGCACACTCTTGCAACCTCTGATCCCGGGTGCCTCCTTTCGCCGCCGGCGCTCATCCCAGGCCTGACAAATCACACTATGGCCAAACAGCCTCTTGACAGAGAAAATCATAACCTCGCGACCTTCGAGACCATCTTCGATAGACTATCTTTCACCTACACTCATGGGGAAGCCCTTTTGGATGGATTGAAAGACAAACCGAGATAGGGTATTGGCGAAAATCTGAAGGCCCGGGCTGCTTCCTCCTCGCCACCGTTGCTGCCCACTTCGGACTGCGATGAGGACGGCGTACCCGTCGTCACAGACCTGGAACAGGTCAAGCTTGGGTCTCAAAATCGGGGGACCCCCACAAATGCGGTTGACTTTCCCTTACAGAGGGTACCCTCAAAACAACACACATCCAGTTCAATGCAGGTGAAGCCGTGGTGCAGCTTCAGGTTCGGTCTCCTGGTACTTACGATGCTGAAGCATAGATTCAGTATCAAGAGCAAGACAAAAGTATGTGAAAACACCCTTGCAATGGGTGTCTAGATTCCATTCAGGCATTCACAACCGTCACTTACCAAAGGGGGTCTTGACCATGGCACTTGTGGCAATGCCCGGCATTGCGCGGCTGGTGCAGGCGATGTGAACTGAGTCGTTCGCGTAGTGGAATGAAGCCCGGGCGCCGAAGTATACTTCTCCTGCCAAGAGACATCTCGCGAAGAAAAGGTATGGATGAATCCTTTGCAAGTCCAACGTAAA